TATATAATATATTACTAATTATTGTTCACATATTTATATATATTTATACATAATATTATTCATACTTGTATTATTCATATATGTATATACATATAACATCCCGAAATTTTTTGCCAAGCGCTCTTATGTGGACAAGGCCGATTAAACTAAATCGAAAAATTCTCTACCATTTTACAATTTTCGCAATAGTTAATAAGATATTAATTATTAAAAATTGCCGAATATTAATCTTCAATAATTTTTTTCTCAAATACTATTAATTTTACACAAAGCTGCAAGAGACAAAAATTATTTATTTTCTTCTCATAGAAGTCTAAGAGTTTTTTCAGAATTTTTTATCAATTTTTTAATATTGCATTTTCTTACATTGGCAACTATTTTTATCATGCATGAGAAAATATGGTATTAAAAAATTTTGAAAAATTCTGAAAAAATTCTCAGAATTTTATTATATAGAGAAAAAGATAAACAATTTTTGTCTCTCGCTGTTCTTCGATAAAATTGATAGCATTTAAGTAAAAAATTATTGAAAACCAAATATTCAGCAATTTTTAGTAATTAATAAATTAATAATTGTTAACTGTTGTGAAAATTGCAAAATGTGTGATAGAGGACTCAATTTAGTCCGTTTTATCTACACACTAGTGCTTTGTCAAAACTTACTGGATATCTTGTATATACAAATACACACATATGAATAATATCGATATATTTGCAATATATTAATATTTATATATTAGACTATCATATACGTATATTGGATGTACATATTTAAATAAAATATTACATGTATGCGAAATAAAAATCAAGAAACTTCTAAATTTAAAATTAACAAGGAAACAGAAAGATATTATCAGTCGACATATTTCACGAAAAGATCAAAGGATCAAAAGATCAAAAGATCAAAGATCTGTATATCATTCACGCAACTTTTTTCGTATTTTTTCCATTTCTTCTTACATCTCTCCTTTTTCCGAACAGAGACTTATCGAAAGATGTGCAAGCGCCCGTCTTTACATAACCCGGAATCCGAGTCGTGATGGATAAAACCTAATTTCTCATATTCGCAAGAGGACTTACCTTGCGATTAAGAACCACTTGCTGTCTTCGGACGAGAATATTCACATATATTATCAGGATTCCATAACGTATCCTGATCCGTTAAACACGCGTGACTATTCGATAACGATGACGACAAACAAACCCGAAAACAAAATAACACTCCAGCCAAAGACCGTACATCGACTGCCACAATAGTTCAATTCAGTAGTGCCGAACAAAGTCGCAAGTGTCGCAATATCGAACAAGTCGGAGTGCACTGTGCATGTCTCATTATTTTCATTGGCTAACCCCAACGTCCCCGACGCGGCACGTGATGTGAGACGATCCCCTGCCGTTTTCATCCGTCGGCCTCGTAGAGTCCTCCGATAGTTTGGGCACCACCGTCCGCCATTTTCAAATTAATTACGGTGCGCTTTTCAAAAACATTCGAGTCCACTATCGCTAGATTGAGAATTTTCTCCTAAATTTGAAGATATTATACATATTTATACATATTCATGAACAATTTTTTATCGATTTTTTTTCTATTGAAAGATTTTTTGAAAGTACGAAAAGTTGAGGAGAATTTTTGGAAGACTATGGAGGATTGTGGAGAGGAAAATATAAAGTTATCTTAGCCAGATAACATAATATATGTATCTCAGTAAATTGTTTATACATTACGTCGTATAAATATGTATAAATATGTATAAGTATGTATAAACATACATAAATATTCATAAACTTATATAATCATATGAAATACGTCCATATGTACTCACACATTCCTCTTTCTTTTGTTTATAATGAAATAGAAATAATAATAGTAATGTGTAATTTTATGTGTGTTTCCACGTGAAAATATAAAAAAATAATTAAAGGGATAATTTTCGCATTATTCGTTTTAGAAAAAAAATTTGAAAAAATTGCTCTTATTCACAATTATGCATAATTTTATATACAAGTAATTATATACAATTTTTTTACATTTCTTCAATTTTTTTCTAAAATAAATAGTGTGAAAATTATCCTTTTAATTATTTTTAATATTTTCACATTATTATTATTTCTATTGCACAAAAAATAATGTTACAGAAGAAAGATGAATGTATGAATATGTATGAACATATTTCATATATGGATATATTTCACATATGATTATACATTATGAATATGTATGTATGTTTATATATATTTATATATATATTCATGCATGAATATTTTTTTAATAATCTTTTATTGTTCGAACGTTTTATCGATGGCGATCGAATTCTTATAGACCTAGTTCTACCAATGCAAGATTAATTTTAGTTCTATTTACTTTTATCTTTTTTTAATTCCAAGAATTAGAAAAAGATAAACAATAAATTAAATCGAGTTTAAGAATGTTTTAATTATATATATAATAAAAGAATCAGTCAAAACAAGTTAATGAATTAAAAAAATTTTGATAATATATTAATTCGTTGTGAATACAATTTGAAACCAACTGCAAAAAAAAAGAAAACAAAATAATTCGACTTATATAATAGCTTTATACAACAAAATAACAATTTTTTTGTTGCAGTTTTAAATCAACAACAAATAAGTGCATGAATAAACTTTTACAAACATTTATTATTGTTTTATTAATATATGTATAAAATTTTATTTAATTCTTATAATATTATTTCCTCATTAATTCATGCAATTAAGTATTACAAACGCGAGTTTACATAAAAAATAAAACAAACAAAAAATTAATTAATTTTTAAACTAATAAGAAAATCCTGCTCAAATATTACACAATACTCAGTTGTAATAATATAATAATCTATGATTTTTATATTTTTAAATTTTTATATTTTTGTATTGCTTTTAGATATGACATGTACATTCTTAATAATCTTCTAGATAATAAAACTCGATTCAAACAGTA